ATACAAAAAGATTTTGTTTTATATATTTGAGCTATCTATAGTCGTTTGAAAGGGTGATAACTCCTTTATTGCTGATGTGCTGTGAGGACATTGCTCATTCCTGTGGAAGTCACAAGATTCTGCTGAGGTGGTGGCTGCCATCTGTCAGAAGCATTGGTGTTGTGACTAGTGCATGCTGAGAGCATCCCATGGCTGCTGATGGCCATCATCCAGAGAACTGGGGTTGCACAAAAGTTGCTTTGGCTTTATAGCAAGAGCCCCAGGCAACCTCATTTACTCCTCGCCATTTCCAGCTGCTCGTTGCTTTTCTCTCTCACAGTAGCCCCATCACACTAGGACTCAGCAGCTGCCTTGGTGAGAGCCTCTCACGCCCCCTTCCACCAGCCCCTTGTTCTTGAATTGCCACCTTGATAATCTTCACTTGAGATATGCTCTTTTCTTGCAGGCTCTTTCATTCTGTTAGTTCTGCCTCAATGGGAGAATTGTCATATTTAGTTTAGGCAGTGAATGTGGTTAGTTTAGGCAGATGTGCTTGGATCCTAACAGGAACTCAATTTAGGCTCACACCCTGACAGCTACATCAAACAAGTTTATGTTTTATATCCCAAGAGCCATCTGACCATCTTTTTCTTTCTTTTTTTCTACATTCAACTACTTGCAACCCAAATCTATGTCATTCTCTTGAATATAACTTGGTTTCTGGACTTGATCTTTCCCAGAGCTAAGAGAAATATAGATCCTGCTTCTGAAAACAAATTAAAACCTGAAATTGTAGTGTGGTTTTAACCTTCATAGGACCATGTTCTTAACTGTGCAGGCTCAGCAGCTGCATCACTAATTCCTATTGTGATTCCAGAGACAAATTTGTGGATCTAATATACTAATTTAAATACCACAAATTAACTCTTCAGGCTTTCTAAATTTTCTGTACACTTCATATTTTCAATAAAACTCATCCTCCTCCTGTTGGCAATGATCGTGTTTGGAGTATTCTATTTCTCTAATAGTGTGTATATCCTAGTGGATCAAAATTTTGCATGGTCATCCCTCACTAATGGAAAACCTCCACTTTGTAATCTCTACTAGCAAAAAAAAAAAAAGCTTCAAATTTACATAGGAATATACCTTGCTCTCCACTAATTTATTAATTAAGATCCCCTCTCCCCACAAGGAAGTAAAGGGCGATTGTAGGTGGCTTAGAGATAAAGAAAAAAAAATCCAATGATATAAAAATAAATAAAAGCTAAGAGAAAATAAAGGTAAAAATGAAGATAAAATTGAGACTTTGAGAGTGAGGGACATTTGCAGACATGTATAGTAAAGAGCCTCTTTACAAGAGCAAGAGATAGATTGTACATTTAAGGACAAATACATGGTTTGACCCAGTAATGAAACATAGATTATCTATACAAGTGTCTCTTTGAATAAATTTTAAAGCATGATATCCCATTTATTTAAGGATTTTAAAAAGTAATATATGCATATGTACAGTATAGAAGGGTAAACAATGGACAAAGTCTCCAAGTTTTGCCCCAGCTCCCATGCCCTATTTCCCAGCCCCAGAATTATTGCTGGTTTCCTGGGCATCATTCTAGTAATGGAATATGCAGACACTTTACCTCTGTGATATTTTCCCCCAAAACCTATATTTCCAGTGTAATCATGTGAAAAACACCAGATAAATGCAAACTGGAAGACATTTTACAAAATATCTGACCAGTACTCTTCAAAACTGTCAAGGTCATGATCAAGGGAAGATGGTGAAATAGAGATCAGGGGAAACTAGGAGACCTGATGGCTGAATGCAGTGTGGGATCCTGGATTGGATCCTGGAACAGGAGAAATGGGCGAAATCCAAATAAAGTCTATAGTTTAGTGAATACAATTGTACTAATATTAATTTCTGAGTTTTGACAAATGTGCCATGGTTCTATTTTTCCTGTAACTGTTGCCACTGTGCTCTATCCCTCTCTTCTCTGCCAATCCTCTACCCTTGATTCCCTCCTGGAAAGTGGTCTCCCTTATTGGCATCTAAATCTGATTCCATGAATTTTCCATCTTTTTTGGTTATTTGAACAGCGTTACCATATTATTAATACTGAATCCTGTTTATTTAAAATCTTCAACTTGATAATTTACTCAAAGGTACTCCTTGATCGCCAGGACAGGAAAGATTCTTGGTTGTAGGGGAGACACCGTATAGCTTGGTACTTCGACTGGCCACCCGGGAACCCAACTCCACGAGTTTGTAACCTGGCTTTGCCACTTGGTAGCTAGATGACCATGGGCAGGTCACTTCCTGCCCTCAGTTTCTTGAATTGCCAAGTGGTGATAACAGTGGTATTTACCATGGAGGGCTGTTGCAAGGATTAAATGAGTTATTTATTTAAAGCACTCAGAGAATGCCTAACATGTTATAAATGCTGTGTCAGTGTTAGTCTCACTATAATTGGAGTGGGAAAGGGGTTCCCTCTCTCAAAGCTCCCTTCATCTTCTGACCCAGTTTGGTAAGAAGGCTTTCCACAGTGACGATGGAAGGAAGGATATGAGGCTGTTGCAGCAGATCAGTTAGGAGATTGGGTGGGGGGAGCAGTGGGATGGTGGGTCAAAACTTTCATCATTTTTGAATTAGTGTTGAAGGTCATTTCTAAGGGTACATGAGGATGAGCAAGAACATGATTCTGCAGGGAAGAAAAAACTAAAAACAGTTTTCAATCAAACTGCCTTTTTTCCTTGCATTAAACACAGGTATTTTAAACACTAATTATGATATCCCTGTAAGAGAGAGAGTGAACAAGTTATTTTTTTTAACCCAAAAGATTTCAGTTACAGTCATGTCTTACAGGATATCACTTACCATGTGATGCCATTTCACACTGGACTGTAGAATTGGGAGACCGGTTGCTAGTCAGAGAGGAGAAGGAGACAGTTAAAAGGGAATCAACTTAATCTCTTGTCATCTGAATGGGGCAAATCCCCAAATCTGAAGTTAGTATGACCTGATGGCAAAGCCCAAGAAGGACAGCATGTGCCCGCACACCCACACAGCCTCATACACATGCACACTAAAACTTCAGATAAATTCGTGATGAATGTTACTGAATGACACTTAACAAAAAGATTAGCAAACAGAATACAGAACCATGTTAAAAGAATAATGAGCTATAACCAAGTGGTATTTATTCCAAACCTACAGGGATGGTTCAGTAAAAGAGAACCCATAACACAATTATTAGCATTAATTGCTTTAAAAAGAAGAAAATTTGCATGATAATTTTTGTGGAGGCAAAACAATCTGATAAAATTTTAAGTCTATTCTTTTTTTTTTTTTTTTTGAGAGCAAGGGAGAGAATCTTAAGTGGGCTCCATGCCCAGTGCTGAGCCCAAAGTAGGACTTGATCTCACAACCCTGAGATCATGACCTGAGGTGAAATCAAGAGTTGGGTGCTTAATCAACTGAGCCAACCCAGGCACCCCAAGTCTATTCTTGATAACAATTCTTAGTAAAGTAGATATGTGGTTAATTTCTTAATGTGATATATAAACACAAAAGCTAGAACCAGATGTAATAAGGAAATAATTAGAAGCATTCTCATTGAAGTCAAGAATGAGACAAAGATTTCTACCACTATTTGCCATTTCTGGATTCAGCATCCAGTATTTTTAGAAAATAGAAATAATATACTAAAATTTTAAGGGAAAAAATTACATTATTTTTGAATTATTTACTTCATGGGAAAGAATGTGAGTGCTTTTTAAATTTCTCTATGTTATCAGAATGAGTAGGTTGGAGTTATTAGTTACTAAAATGTTTGGTAAAATCCTTTTATAGAAACTTTAGTACCTGGGATGCTTTTGTTTGTTTGTTTGAGGAGATAGCCCTTTGATAATCACTTGTATTTCTTCCAATTTAATTGCTCTGTCTAGATTTTCTAGGTCTTCTGAAGTTCTTAAAAAAAAAATTTTTTTTTGGAATAGTTTGATTTACAGAAAATTTGCAAAGCTAGTACAGAGATCTCATACACCCTTCACACAACTTCCTCTAATATTAACATCTTACATAACCCGGCACATTTGTCAAAACTAAGAAATTAATATCGGTATTAGTTTAGTACAATAGTACAATTGTATTCACTGAACTATAGACTTTATTTTGATTTCGCCCATTTTTCCTATTCCAGGATCCAGTTCAGGATCCCACACTGCATTCAGCCATCAGGTCTCCTAATTTCCCCTAATCTGTAACTGTTTCACCATCTTGCCTTGTTCATGACCTTGACCGTTTTGGAGAATACTAGTCAGGCATTTTGTAGACTGTCCCTTGATTTGCATTTATCTGGTGTTTTCGTCATGATGAGACTGGGAATATAGGTTTTTGGAAAGAATGTCATAGAAGTGAAGTGTCCTTCTCATCATGAGAAAGTATCAAAATTTGAACTTATTAGTCTCATTATTTCCTCTTATCAAATTCAGAAATTCAGCTTCATCTTTAGGCATGCCTTCTTTCCAACTGCCTTCCTTGGATTCATTTTTGTGTTTATTTTTTCCTAACTTCCTGTTTTGGATATTTGATTCAAATATTTTCTTCCTTTCTGGCAGTCTAAATTTTTAAGGTTATGGATCTTGTTCTGTGCACTGTTTTGGTTGCATGCTCTAGGTCCTGTGATATTATCAATATTCTGTAATTTCTGTATTAATTTCCTCTTTGACCCAAGAATTGTTTAAAATAGAGTAGTTTAGATGGCAAGTGGTAGGTTGCTTCTTTTGGTTTGTCTCATAAGTTCATTATTACTTTCTAATGTTTTGCTTTGTGACCAGAGAGTATTTTTGCTATTTCTATATTTTGGGACTTATACAGAAATTTCTAACCTAACACAGTTATCTTTTGTGAATAGACATTTTTGTGGGCATTAGAAAAAAAATATAGTCTCTGTTTTTATGGCTAGAGATGGATATACGGATCTTTCTCACACAACATACACACACATATACACACTTACCTTTGTCTTTACTACATCTTAAATTCTTACTTGTTTTCCGAATCTTTGATGTCATGCTGACAAAGGTGAATTAAAGTCTTCTACTACTAGTATTGCAAAAGAGTATTTTGTATTAGTACATAAACCAGTAACTTTCTTTTTCTCGCTCTCTCTCTCTCTTTTAAAAGATTTTATTTATTTGACACAGAGAGACACAGCAAGAGAGGGAACACAAGCAGGGGGAGTGGGAGAGGGAGAAGCAGGCTTCCCGCGGAGCAGGGAGATCCCAGGACCCTGGGACCATGACCTGAGCCGAAGGCAGACGCTTAACACTGAGCCACCCAGGCGCCCCAAACCAGTAACTTTCTTATAGATTGTTTTGCTTTACTGTTTTAATGCTACTATGTTACATGGAATATACATTGTATTAATTTTCTGTTGCTGTGTAACAAATTACTATAAACTTAATGACTTAAAAAACCACCCATTTATTGTCTGACAGATTCTGTAGGTCAGAGGATTAGGCTCTGGGTAGGTTCTCAGATGGCTGGAATCGAGGTCTTGGCAAGGACTGGTATCTCATTTGAGACTCAGGATCCTCTCCAGGGTCATTTGGGTTGGCAGAAATCAGTTCCTTGAGACTGTAAGACAGAGCCACTCTCTTGCTGGCTGTGTCTGAGTGCATCTTTCAGCTCGTAGAAGCCATCCCCTGCCACGTGGGCAACACCTTCTTACACTCCAACATTTGACTTCCATCTCCCACCTTTAGACCTAGACTTGCGCCATTCCCACTTGGGTAATACACATTTTGATTAACTCAAAATCAATTGCTTAACAACCTTCACTAAATCTGTAAAATCCCTTCTGCTATGTTATGGAACATAGTCATATCCCATCACATCCGGAGCCGCAGCCCACATCCTCCCTTACCTTTCCAGCTTCAAGGGGAGGGATTTATTCAAGGCACAGATACTGATAGACAGGAATATTGGGGGGACATCTTAAAATTATTCTTATGTAGATTTTTAAAATTATTTTATTTTCATTATGGATTGTAAATTTTTTCATTATACACTGCTTTAAAAATCACATTTAATTCTTTAAGGTTTATTTTGAAGTGTGGAATTCAAGGCTGTCTGGATTAAGAGCTCAACTCCTACTAAATTGTTGCCATGATTGTTTGTTTACACTTTCCTGGAAAGCTTTTGTCCCATCTTTTTTTTTTTTTTTTTTTAAAGATTTT